CACTGATGTGTGAATAACTGGCCAAATGTTTTGTTGGCTGGGAAGACTGGCATTTTTACTTTGCATATGTTTCGTAGGCAGAGGGTCACTATTCTGTCTCAAGTCTGCAAACAGACGATTGCAAAGGTAATAGTGAACGAAACTTACTTTCTAAATTGCTAATTAAAATTAATTTAAGCAGGAAGAAACATACTGTACTGGCAAACTGTTCTAATGAAAAATGCTCAGCCGTGCCCGGCTTCATGTTCACGAAATATTTCAAACTTTGCCCCTTGAGATTCAATACTTGGAAACCTTAAAACTAATCTTGTAGTAGAAATGAGCCTAAACAAAGAATAAGCACATGGCAAATTGCAGCAGTGTCAAACTCTGCAAAGTGACATGCAGATAACAGCGGAAACCATACAGATCTAATAGTATATGACGTCTACAAATTAGGCCCATCAACCCCATTTTACACTGATCTGTTATGATCAGAGGCAAGTACATATATTGGCTCATCATCTGAGTTGATGTTTTGTCATTCAATCACAGGCAAGTGACTCATACTCTGGAAGCACAGTAAAAGTTCACAGATGCCACTACTCATACATTTATATCCTGTGCCCTTTGAGGTTGGTGAATGAAAATTCTTCTGAATGATTTAGTATACTTATTTGTTTTTTACTCTCACTGGCTCTCTTCGCTAAAATATTAACCTCTTACTTCCCAAGCATGCATGAGGGCTTTACTGGGGAATATTGACCTGAGGTCGGGGAAGTATGGACCAAGAGCAGTGAGTTTCTTAGAAGTAGTTTATTATAATCAGGCACTCGAAAACAAAAAAGTACTCAGCTTATGATCATTTTCATGAAATCAATTGGTATGGCAAAATCCCGACCAAGAAAGAACCAATCAGAATGCTTGGATTTACCTCAAGATAATCTTGCTGTATGATAAATATCAATAGTCATTTCTTTGAGGCACATGCACAGTAATTTACCAACTATAAGTTCTAAGTTCTAATTAATCTGTGTGAGTTCTTTGTACTGCAGTTGTCATTACTGCGGTGATGGTTGTGTTCTTGTCCTTGCAGAAGTATTTCTGTCCTGGATATTCACTTCGCAGTGTTACTATGAATGATGTCTGATAATTTATGATCCCTTGCTGCTCTCATTAACAAACTGAGCTCTGTTTCAGTCTGACTCAGCATTACCAGAACAAACTGCAGGTTTTACAATACCACTGATCTTAAGCACTAAGTTAAATTTCAGCCTGTGGTACTTGAGGACATAAACATGTTTAAATCTCTGGTAATAGTTCTGTGAATTTTTGTCTTCAGGGCAGTAACTGTGGAGAACTGTCATAATTCCACAATCGTTCTTGGCGTGGCAAAAACAGCTGTGAACATTATTGGTTGCTGTAATTGTACGTTTTTTGCCGTCTGTGAGAGAATCTCTTTCAGGTTGGTTGCATACATTACACACAAAACTTCTAAGTGACAACATTAGTTTAGGGCACAATGTGATTGGGTAATTCAACTGACCAATCAGAGTATGTCAGGGACAAGCAGAAGTTCAGTTTTTTGTACCATAACCTCTGAATCAGAACTTTTGGCAGTGTTATGGGGATTTTACCGACGAAAGTGTCTTCATCATCTGTTTTTGTACACTTGGTTGTTAACAAGAATACAGCACACTGATTTTCATTTTTATTTTTTTATTTGTTTTTGGCTTACAACATCGATGGTGTGAATAGTTGCTAACATTCCTCTAACCTTTCGTTTCAGTGGTTGTAGTGACTGTACTTTTAACCTTTGCACGCCAACCAGACCTGTGATTCTTCCGGGCAATGAGAAGCTAGTGCTCGCGCCATACCACACTTACTACCCCACCCTGGAAGAACATTTACAAGGCCCCTGGGGGATACCCATAGAACCGAACTTGTGGAATGATCCTCTTGTACTTGGTGAGAAAACGTTT